GATGCTTTACTTGTGCCGACTGCAATTATGCGAGCAACGATTGCTTTGATCGCACGGGACGCACCCGGTTGCCAATGCCACACACGTTACCTCTTGCGCCACAGCGGGGATTGCCAGCATTCACGTTTGGCCACATACATTTTCCACAATGTTCGGTTGATAGTGTTGGTGGTTTTCACAGTTTTTGTCTTTCCCTGCTGTTCCATCCCGTTGCACGTACCGTGTACCGCCGTTAGATTGGCATTTTGCGGCAACGTGGGGTGGTCACTACTAGTACCCCTGCCGCTGCCACTCCTGTATCACCCCTACGGAACTTATAGCTTCTATACCAGTCAGCAATATACCGCCATGCACAGGGAATAAAACGCCTCCCGTCTTCAGTAAAAGGTGTTTTTATAGGGTCAGCTACTGTAGGGTCTGTACACCAACTAACAGGCACATGCAGGCACCCGGCCGAATTGTCCGCATCAGAGTGCAGCCGGAAGCATCCTTCGTGGACATTGCGAACAACTTGTCATACCTGCTCCTGCACCGCTTGTAGCTGCACTTCTGCAGCAGATCTATACTGACCGACATCTGTGAGAAGGACCTGCTTCCTGTCGCATAGACATAGGCATGACATCGGCATTCAAATCAACAGCACACTTGAGCGGCATACCTCCAGCAAGCGAACAAGGAAGGGTCTAACATGCCAAGCCGACCGAAGGTCTAATATGCCAACCGTCGCATCTTAAACCCCAGCCCTTCCGATTACACTAAACCATGATTTCAAACCCTCGAGTAGCTGAGGGTATGTGTTTTTCATGGGGCGGTCGCAGACTTCCGTTTTAGTATCGAAAGCATCAAGACGAATGCGATCCCTAGTAGAGTTTATATAGCATTTTTGGCACTATCGAAACCAACTTGTCCTGGTGAGGTTTGCACTTCGTCATCATTTCAGCGACGAGGTTTATTTGGCGTTCGGCTAAAGGACGCGTATCTTTACTGCGGGCCCTTATCTCGTTCTCGAAGGAAGGGCTGGATTCCAAGTGTCAGTCAGAAGTTTGTGGATCTCGTTCGAGCGCTTGCCATACACATCTGCATGCCATAACGGTTTTATGCTGTAAACGCAACGACAACAGCAACAACGAAACATTAGCAGCAGCAGTAGCAGTACCAGCAGCCGTCGCAGTAGCAGCTGCAGTGGCAGCCTTAGCTGTAACATTTCCTTGCATTGCACACGTCTCACCGTCGCTCCGATGATTGACGGAAGGCAAGCATAGCCCGGCAGCTCATTGACTGCACCACCACGATTGGGGATCGTTATAGGTCACAGTCACTACGCTTTTATTATTATTATTATTAGTAGCAGTAGTAGTAGGTAGTAAGTGGTAGTAGTAGGTAATAGTAGTAGTAGTAGTAGTAGTAGTAGTAGTAGTAGTAGTAGTAGTAGTAGTAGTAGTAGGTAATAGTAGTAGTAGTAGTAGTAGTAGTAGTAGTAGTAGTAGTAGTAGTAGTAGTAGTAGTAGTAGTAGTAGTAGTAGTAGGTAGTAGTAGTGGTAGTAGTAGTAGTAGTAGTAGTGTAGTAGTGGTGGTGGTGGTAGTAGTAGTCGTCGTCGTTGTAGTAGTCGTGGTAGTAGTAGTAGTAGTAGTGGTGGTGGTGGTGGTGGTGGTGGTGGTGGTAGTAGTTGTAGTAGTAGTAGTTGTAGTTGTAGTGGTAGTAGTAGTAGTTGTTGTTGTTGTGGTTGTAGTAGCAGTAGTAGTAGTGGTGGTGGGGGTGGTAGTAGTCGTAGTACTAGTACTAGTAGTAGTAGTAGTAGTAGTAGTAGTAGTAGTAGTAGTTGTTGTTGTTGTTGTTGTAGTTGTAGTAGTGGTAGTAGTTGTTGTAGTAGTAGTTGTAGTTGTAGTGGTAGTAGTAGTAGTAGTAGTGGTAGTAGTAGTAGTAGTTGTTGTTGTTGTGGTTGTAGTAGCAGTAGTGGTAGTGGTGGTGGGGGTGGTAGTAGTCCTAGTACTAGTAATAGTAGTAGTAGTAGTAGTAGTAGTAGTAGTAGTAATAATAATAATAGTAGTAGTAGTAGTAGTTGTTGTTGTTGTTGTTGTTGTCGTACTAGTACTGCTCGTACTAGTACTGCTCTACACAGGGAGAGTGTTCTTACCTTTTGGTAATTACATGCACTCTTGCATGCTGTACTGCGCAGTGCATGTCGTGAGACGAAGCTTTCAGTCGGCAGAAAGTTAGCACACGCGAAAAACATGCTCCAGCGGGTTTGCGCAGTTGGGAAGCTGTTGCGAGGCTGGAAGGCTGGAGGGCTGGAGGGCTGGGCTGGGGCTGGAGGAAGGCTGGAAGGCTGGAGGGCTGGAGAAGAAGGCTGGAAGGCTGGAGGGCTGGAGGGCTGGAAGGCTGGAGGCTGGAAGGCTGGAAGGCTGGAAGGCTGGAACGCTGGGCTGAAGGCTGGAAGGCTGGAAGGCTGGAAGGCTGGAGGGCTGGGCTGGGGCTGGAGGAAGGTTGGAAGGCTGGAGGAAAGGTTGGAAGGCAGGCTGGAGGGTGGGCTGGAGCACTCCAGCCCTGCAGCCTTCAACCCCTCCAGCCCTTGCAGTCTCCAGCCTTCCAGCCTTCAACCCCTCAAGCCCTAAACCCCTTCCAGCCTTCAACCCTCCAGCATTCCAGCCCTCACCTTTTTAAGACTGAAGGCTAGATCACGTCATACTGGGATTTAAATATACGGATTTAAACAAATATTTTATACTACCTCTGCGGCCAGTGCGGCTGGCCGGGCGCCCATATATTTAAAAAACGTCACCGTAACGCGAGTCCGGCACGAAAACGCCCCTGCCGCCAGCATCGACGGGGGCGTAAGCGAGGCGGGGCTGCATGGGGCGAGGGGGGAGGGGGGGAATACGGAGGGCATCTCGCAAGAAGACAAACACTAAGAAAATGACGTTCTGCTCTGTTCTGCAATGAAGGTCCTTAAAGCAGTTCCTGTTCAAATGCTTGCTCCCATAGTGTCAGGCTCCCTCTCGATGAAAAGCGAGCTAGCTTCAGGCGCGGTGCCGAGCAGCACATGTAAAGCCTTGTGGGAAAATGCTATACGTCTCTATCATCGTGTGACGTTATTCGGTTCTAGTCAGAAGCTCGGTGTAGCGTGCAGGCGAGAATCTTGGAAACCGAGACCACCGCCTTCGGCCTGCTGCAGAATTGCGGTGATGCCGCACGGGTGCACGACGCATCCCAAATAGCTTTCGCAGCTGAGAGCTTCGATTCCACCGATACCGTTGCAGGCTGCATCCTAATCGCTTTCCAGTTGAAGGCCATGGGCCGAGGCTTCAGCCCCTTCGTTTAAAGACAAGTTCAAGGCGCTTGTGGTGAACCAGGGTGCGGGAGACCAGGCGGCCGAGGAAGTCCCCAACAAGTCCATGCAAATCCAAAGATACGGTCCATGAAATGACTGCGAAGTGGAACGAGCCAACTACATGGCTGAAGGCGGTTGCGATTCTGGGCGCTCGCAAGCAGCCATGCCGTTGGCTGTTGCCGGCACTGCGGCGAAGTGCGACGGGCGCATCAGGCAGCCAACACAAACCGAAGGGGGTCGCACGGAGGCACGAGGTTCACGGGTTCGTTGTTGTGTGGTCGATGGGGCAAGCGGCTCGCCGACGACGGAATTGCGACAGGCTACCTCACTCCGCAAGCTGGACAGCGCGATCATCAGCATCAGGCAAAATTGTCGTCGATGTCTACCGCGGCATATCATGGTACCATTGTATCTGCAGGTGTGCAAAAGGCTGATACACATCCAAGCCTCGTCATGATGACAAAATGAAAATGGGGCCAACTTCGTCACCTCGTCAGCTTCACCACCCATAGGCTCCGTAGTAGTTCCTTTTTGGGATTACCTTGTAGGATCCTAAATCTAAACCACAAAAGGAACTACAACGGAGCCTATGGGTAATGCTCCAGGAGGGATCACCACGTGATTCGAGGTCGTAGAACCGCTCAGAAAGTCTCCACGTTTTGCCCGGCGAGTACATATGCCAGACACCGCACCTCCTCTGTATATAGATGTAAATATAAAGGCTGCGCTGACGTATATTACCTGCATATGTCTGTGTATGACTGCCCTTTTATGTATAATGTACACATGCATGCATGGGCATATGTGCATGTGTGTGTGTGCACATGCAACAAATAAACATAATCCAGAAATAAAGAATGTATCCACACTCATACTCCTGTATGCATATATACAGATAGACAGCGAGCCAGCTGGCTAGCTTGCTTGCTTGCTGCACACATCTGCTTAAAGGTGGGTGCAGAGTCAGTTGGAGCTACATTGGCACACAGGCATTCTTTGGTGACCTTGGTGATGCCAAAATGCGCATATTGGCGCATATGTTCACATGGTTGCATTGATCAGGGCACGCTCTGATATTTGAAGTACTTGCCTGGACAACCCTAAAACCCTGACGAGTAAATCCTAGCCGCTGACATGGCTTTTCATCATGCATCTTGCGGGCACGGTTGCAAGGGTGCCTTTGCCCTAGCAGGGAGCGTCGCGCAGAACGCCAAAAGAAGTCAAGCTTTTGGTGTAGGGGGCTTTCGGCGTACAGACTAGAGCATGTAACACAAAGGACGGCATTCGCTCATGTTCAACCTTTACTGCCCTGTCTTGGCCTCATTCGGCTCGTGTGCATCGCTGCCCATGTGAAAGTCATGCGGAAGTCGTGATGTCTGGCACTCCAGCATCACAAGCTTCAGTTGCCCAAATCTTTGGGGCATAACACGAGCCTAAGCAGGGCTCTGAGACGATGGTTATCGCTTATTCGCAAGTTGCCTGAATGCCTTTACTGTATGTTGAGTACTATAGGGGCCTTATCATAATTGCAATGGGGTTTGCATGGGGGTATATTATACAATACTTATGATAAGGAACCCCAAATTAGTATTGGTAACTATTTAGGCTGAGTAGGCTGCGCACTCACTAAGCCAACATCAGTCATCCGACTCGTCTCAGTCAGTCCTCCTCTCAGGTCAGGTCCTGCGAGTGGGCGCAATCTTAAAATTTCCCGGGCGTTCTCGGAAGGCTTGCAATGCAGCAGCAGTGCACAGTGGGCGCAATTCTTAGTCTTAACCGGCAGTAGAGATAGCCGCACAGGAGGTGCTAGATCCTATCATGCAGGGTTACCGTGTATTAGAAGTTCTTGAAGGTGGCATGCAAACACATTGAATTGCTGTGGCTCCAGTTGCACTCGACAGATGTTGGGAAAGGTAACTGTACGATTTAGAGGGAAGGCTTGCTGGAACGAAAGGTGCACACTTGCCCTTGTTTGTTCTCTGCCCGGGCTCGTAGTTGAATGACATCTGTGCTTGCTGTCCTTGTCTTCTCTAATCTCTTGCACACCGGGAGGCAGAATCTGACAGCACTCCTGCGGGTTGCCCAGGTTGTCGAGCTCTGCAAAAGGGCTTTTGCAGAGGAGCATCAACGTCTCCCGCAAGTCTCAGCATGCACAAGTAGGCGCTTTCAGAACGGCTGCAGCAACCGATCTGAGAAGTCGCTGAGCTTCGGACGAACGGTGTCATCATGGTCGGCAAATTGGCCACCTAGTCCCCAGGTTTTTTTTGAAGCGGTATGGTCTCGGGATCTTGGGTGCTAGTCAAGAAAAGGGGGACGACAAACAGGACAAACACTGCACCACAACAACCAATTGCGACGACCACCACAACGACCTGCCGAAATCTCTGTAGCTCCTGATACTGCTCCTGCTTATACTGCTACCGCCGACTGCCAACTACACCACGAGTTGTTGCTGCTCATGCCACTGCAGCCTTGGGTGTTTTCGTCCGTCGTCGTATGGTGGCCGGGTTAGTATCGGTGGCATTTAGCAGGCGTCGTCGACGGCATCGTCGTCGTAGTGGTGGCAGTGCATCTCACTGCCAAAGCGAGTCGCCATTTCGTGGATGTCAACAACTTCTGCGAAAAATCTGGTCGTCATGCAGTCATGCGACCGGCAGATCAGATCAACCAACGTTGGGAATTGGTTTCGAGGGAGAGGGAGAGGGGGAGGGAGAGGAGATGGAGAAGGAGAGGGAACATAACACAATTAGTGCAAAATGGATTGTCCGGAAGGAAACGAGCCTGGCAAGGTGCCAACAACAATTTTCGTTACTTGGGTGTAGGCTGGGTCCGGGCATCTGGGACCCCTGGCGCACGGAAGCAGCACAACTGACTCGGCAGCAGCCGAGAATACGCAGGCTCAAGGGGCAAACATGATACAGTTCGGAACTCCGGGCATAAAGACATCGCAGGGGGAGCTGAGGCCCAGGCCATGAAGATACTCCTTTCCAGCTAGGTGCGGGTAGACAGGCGGCACGACCTCGGGTGATCTTCTGCCACCGACTTTCCCACCGACTTTCCCTATAGACTTGATCAAACTCTCCTGGGGCGCAAGCGATGGATGGAAAATGCAAGGTGCGAAGAACATGAGCATAGTTGGTGTTGAAGTAGTTGCAAGCCGTGACGGCTGCAACCTGAGGTGGCAGAAGCGAGAATCGCACAATCATGTTTCGAAGCCTGCACAATTCTCTTCAACACCTACTTTTCTAGGAAGCACACTAGTTGACAACAGACTGCGTGAGGAGATGTATGTGCCCAGGCACCTCCACGTACGGTACATCGCTGAGCTCACGTTGCGGATCATTGCAGCATCTACCTGCAGCATCCGGCATCCAGGCCATATCTACATTGATCTCTCAGAGCCTCTTGCTCAACTACTGGCTAGCATCTCTTTTTTTCTGATTCGACCACGAACTGACCACGACGACTTTGCTGAAACGCCTGTCTTCAGCAGGGTCTACAGCAGCCTCCCTTACAGGCCCGTCCATTGTAGGTTAGGCACTGGAGGTTGCTGTTCGAACTATACAGTGGTGCACAGTGGTGCCATGAGGGTTTCGTGCGCCATATGCCGGCCGGACCTACCGCCAGCACGGGATCCACAGCTTGTTGTCACTGAAAATCCATGCAGGACCACCACAGCTTCTCACTAGAGGTCCCTGCAGCAACGGCTTAAAACTTCTCAAACCCTTAAAGACTAAATTGGGGTTTCCGAAAATAGGGACCCTAAAAAAGTAACCCAAATAGAAGGATCCTTATCATAAGGACCCCCAAATGGGGTGCCCCTAATTTTCGGGAACTCCCAAACATGCTCTTGGAGCTCTGTCTTTGACGAGCTCCACAGAGGCGCCTTTGCTTTTTTTGCTGTGGCTTTGCCCCTAAGCTTCCTCGGTCTTGAAGTCGGTCACCGCGTCAGCCTGGGGGACCTTCGGATTCTCAAGGCGAGGCAAGCGGAAGGGATGCAGGCAGAGGCAGGTGAGGCGGCCGAAGAGGCTGATGGGCTCAAGAGCTTGGAGTGCAGCATGTTCAGTTGCCAGCGGGCCTTTGAAGCGATTTGGCCCAGAAGTCTCAACGCCAGGCTGGGCCAGCAACGCCAGCGTGTAAAAGATCATCCCGAGCTGAAAGAGCTGCAAGGTCACGTAGCCCAGGCTGATGCAGTACCTGTGACAGGCTACTGAAAACCTCAAAAGCAAGCCGGAAAAACTGCAAAACCTGGAAAAACGGCTGCCGCGCTTAAGTACGGCCACGGTACCACGCCACTGCACGAATCTTGCTCACGTCTTTTGGGGGCACGAAGGCCATCAGGAAGATCACCCAAAAGAAGAAAAAGAACTGGAAGACGATGAACGGAATAGTGTGTGCAAAGACTTGGCCGACGCTGTGGTCCAATACAGGGCTAAACAGGCCAACCATCCAGAAGCAGTTCACGCACAGTATCTCGAAGGCCACGAATGCCAGGAGGCATCGTTTGCTACTCTCTGCCTTCCACTCACTCTTGCAGTGCTGGTACACTTTGATCATAGCATAGGAATGAAGCAGGCCAGCAAAAAAAAACATGACGGTGGCAACCTCCACCCAGCCCGGGAAGTCCATGGCCACGCAAATGGAATCTTGCCCGAAGACGTGCGAGATCTGGTTCTCGTTGGGATCGTTGTTTCCTGCAAGCCTTGCCACGACCGGAACGATAAGTCCCAGGAGGATCCCGCACCCCATCTGGAACAAGGGCTTCTCCAGCAAAAACTGCGCCACCGCTCGGCACACCATGGCTGTGTGTTCAAATAGTCACAGAGGGCCGACACCAAAACGTAAATCGAACAAGCCACTGAGCCGGCGGCTGTCATGGACTCAATGATGGTGCAGCCAACGGAGCGAGGCGAGGCGGCGGGGGGCGCCGATAGATGCAACGCTCACACCCGCAGGTTCTTCTTCACATGCGCATGCAGCAATTCCTATATGGCTTGGACGGCTGGGAGCTACAGATTTTCAGGACCAGGGCCAGGTAAAAGTTTCAGCTGCCTGCTTACAGGCTATTTCGGTAGACGTCCCAGAAACTCACCGAGGCATTGACATATACTCACCGTGGCCAGGAACAGTAGCACAACGCCAGCCTGAGAATCTCTCTGGCATCATAGGCTCAAAGCCCCCACAAGAAAAAACGCGCACATTAACCCTAAACCCCTTTGCCCACCTTGCACTTACACGTAACGGAAGCCAAGGAGCCGCAGCTGCAGGCATGGCTGCATATCTGCCCCAACCACTCGGCGGTAGCCAAGAGTCAAAGAGCTGAAGAGGAAACCAAGCCAGAAGTAACCTGGAACTGTCGTTTCACAGTCGGAAGATGGCACTGGTCAGGACTGACTTGTTTTGCCCTGATGGACATATGACCTTTTGTTCTTGCTTTCGCGGCTTGTTGTGCAGCAATGTCCTGAGCACGGCTCGCCCTCTGGGCTGAGCTTTGCGCATGGGAACCGCAAAAAGGTAGTGCACCTTGGCCAGTCCGGCAACTAACGATCGCTGCTGCACTAACCGCTTTAAATGCTGAAGTCTCAAGCACTGCAGTTGCTGGGTGCATCAGGGCGACCGTGCGATCGAGATTGGAACTCACATAGTACGTCTGCCGATTGATGCGCCTGTCCGCAGCCATGACATTAAAAGGATCAGGCGCACCATCAGCCGGGACTTAGACTGTCTAGTGAAAGCAAAACCGTGCAGGAGGCACAAGAAGAAGAACTTGTCGATGAAATAGACGTAGAAACTGTAGAAGAGCATTAAGATCTCAGAGCCTTGGATGCGCGGGCAGATGCTGTGTCCGAAAATACATATACATGCCGACACACCACGCACATGTCCAAATGTTACCCTGGGTTGGGTGTGGATGGGTTGGGTGTGGAAAAATTAGATATGACGTGCATGATAACAATTGATCCCGAGAAAGATCTCATCTGAGCACGGCAGAAAGCAAAACCTTGATGTAGGTCTCTCAGTAGCAAGTTACCTTGCTGCTGATTTAGTAGACATAAAAGCCAAAAGACATACAAGCCAAAAGTCACCGTTACCTCACATCTGAAGCACCAAAACTACCGAATCAGCTGCACAACTACGATTCTCAAAGATGAAGCAATGCACAGCTTGCACTATATATTGTGTCACAAGTTGCAGGTACACAATGGAGCGCCCGCCACTGCTTCACAGGCATCTGATGAAAGTTTTTCTTAGTACCGTACTGCATCTTTCGAAACTGCGCTGCATCAACTGTAGTATTGGTGCCCACACACACACACACTCGGCAGCGCAGCACCAGCAGCAGCATTAACTGCAACAGCAACAACGACAACCCAACAATAACAACAGCGGCAGCAGCAACAGCAGCGGCAGCAGCAACTACCACGGCTCTACTACTACTACTACTACTACTACTACTACTACTACTACTACTACTACTACTACTACTACTACTACTACTACTACTAGTACTAGTACTAGCACTAGCACTAGCACTAGTACTAGTACTAGTACTAGTACTACTACTACTACTACTACTACTACTACTACTACTACTACTACTACTACTACTACTACTACTGCTACTGCTACTGCTACTGCTACTGCTACTGCTACTACTACTACTACTACTACTACAATTACTGCTGCCACCACTACTACTACTACTACGACTACTACTACTACTACTACTACTACTACTACTACTACTACTACTACTACTACTGCTCCTGGTTCTAGCACTACCGCTACTACAAGTACCAGTACCACTACTGCCACGAATACAACTACCTACACTACTAACACTACTAACACTACTAACACTACTACAACTGCAACTAAGACTACAACTACAAAAACTACTGATTACGGATTCCTGATTACTGTTTACTACTACTACTACTACTACTACTACTGCTGCCACCACTGCTGCTGCTACTTGATACTGAGGTTGGCAGAAATGGAGACCTCCCGTCGGCGCTAAGGATGCGGCCAATCGTGTACATGGACTTGTAGTCAATGGTTATCATGACAAATACCAATGTCATCATCAGCAAGACGTCGACGTACCTGCAATCACTGCCGGCATTTGACAGGTTGAGAAGCCTCATTTATTCCAGTACTGCAACATATAACGCCAGGAACACATTCTTTATATGTCGTTATGCATGTGTATATATATATATACATTATGTGTATAGGTATCAGAATCTGCATGTGCACATATACAAGATCTACACAGGGTGCGCATATGCACCATGCGGCATAGCAAGGTACATTCTTACAGTATGTTACAGTTGGCGACTTTCCACCATCGCTCGCAATCTGGACGGGTTGCTGATAAAACTCCCCCCACGCACGTGTGCCGGCAAGCTGGAATCGCCTGCCTCTGAGCCATTGCAAACTCGGCACTTGTCAAGACCTCAGTAACAACTTACTGCTCGAATTCAGGACTGGGTACAGATGTCACCAAGCTCACCACTGGCTGACCTTCCCGAACTGTGATGTACCTGGAAGTGTGTAAACAAACAACTGCTTGAATGCTGCCTGATCTGGCCGTACTAAAACTCAAGGTGCTGAACAATCTTGCTACTACAGCTGCCGGCTCTCCTGCTCTTGTCGAGTCTGCTCCTCCTCCTGCTGCGGCTGCTGTTTCTACTACTGCTACTACTACTACCACTACCGCTACCATTGATCACTGACCAATGGCTACTGACCACTAACCACTAGCACTACCACTACAACTTCGAAGATGACGAGGACGACTACGACTACTACCTCCTACTGCTACTCCTACTGCTCTGCTACTACTGTTACTATGAGTCTTGCCCTGTCGTTCTAAACAAAGCCTGCACCCCAAGCCCTACATCCTAAATCCCTGAACCTTGATCCCTAACAGCCTTAACACTAAACTCAAATACCTAAGACCCCAACCGAGTACCTAAGACACTAACGTCAGACACCTAAACACCTAAGCCCATGTCTATAAAACCGTAAGCCTAATGCCTGAAACCCTGAAGCCCAACAATGTAGGGGCCTTAATGATTAGAATAGGTTTTCGGGTCCCATTATACTACAGTTATAACAAGGAACCCCCGAAAATAGCATGGGTAATTCTTGAGGCCCCTTTTTTCCTGACCCCCTGAACCGGAAGTCTGATGTCTAAAACCCTAAACCCGAATCCTAACACCTAAAACCCTCGGTCCTGATACCTGAGACCAACAAGAACCCAAACCCTAAGCCCAAAGCCCTAGTAGAAGGAGTAATGCCCCAGAGTCCGAAACCCAAATCCCCCTGGTATGCAAAACCCTCAACCCGCACCTACAACCCCAAAACCGAATAATTGCCCGAAGCCATGAAACCCAAAATCATACCTCAAACCCGTACCGGAATACCCAAGCCGTATGCTCGAATAAACGACTACCACGGTAACTTCGAGTAGGCGGCAACCCATAGAGAGCGCGCGGAGCTGCTTTTAATTTAAAAATCGAAGTTGTGCGAACAAAAAACAAGATTAACAACATGGTCAGGCGGGTCTTGAGCAGGCGCACCTGCTTTGCCGCACACGGAAGTGCGCAGTCCAGTAGGACCAGGCTGGATAGACGATATAGAGAAACTGGCCAGTCTGTAGGGCTTCCGGCTTTGAGGGTGAGAGGCTACAGGTTAGAGTTCAACTACGGTGGCGACCCTTTAAGGGCAGTTTTTGGCAACACATTTCTGCACACCAAAAGAATATTATCTGATCTAAGTTCTATATACAGCTCTGTTTCAGACTTCTTTTCCTCCGATGCGCTGTCAATGAAAGCAACCATGATTCGTGCACTCTATACGTCGTACTATCAAGGAATACTACAAGGGTTCAGGGGGTTGTAGGACTTGTTTGAGCCGGTAAACCCTAGACCCTTAAATCCACACTGCCTTGTCCCCAAAGACGCTGCGCACCTCCGTCGTGAGAAGGATCACGGCCATCAACGTGAATAGCCACTCCTGGGCTCATAATTGAGGCTTAGGTTTTGTTTGTTGTTAGGCTTTTAGGGTTTCAGTATTGAGGCTCAGGGTTTGGGGCTTAGGGTTTGGGGGTAAGGGCTCAGGGCAGTCTACACTTTCGGCCGCAAAGGCGACAACGTCGAGAGCCGAGGCTCTGTTGCTGAGTACGGGGTGACTCGCAAGTCCGACCAGGATGCCTGACGTGTTGGAGGCTTGATAAAGGTGTGATAGAGGGAATACTGAATACTAGATATTTAGGGTATAGGGAGAGCCACAGCACCAGGCACAAGGGTTCGAAGATGCAGCTTCCACGATTTCTGAAAGCACTGGCTTTGATCATGTCGTATCATGAAGATAAAAACTGCATGAACGATTGAGCTGTCTGACTTGTCCAGAACCATAGGTCTCAAAAGTGGCGGGCCGACCACAATTTGGGCAATACCCAGAGGTGTAACCTGGCGCGGGCATGGCATTGCTACATGGACAAAACCTACAGGGATCACTGAACTTCTGCCCCATGAGCAAGAGGCAAGGACGTCTCGGGGGCAGCAACTTTGGCGGGAAGGCTGAGTTGGCGAGGACCAACAAGTATGTACATACCAAGAAGACGCTGTCCTCACTGACCTGGCAGGGTGGCTGTGCAATCAAGAGTGGGTCCGAAGCCCATGCCTTCAACTCTCAATGCCTGCCTTCTGTACAAAGCCGCCAGCTTCAGCAGCTGATCTCATGCCGATCGCCTGGTCACAGCACCGTCACTGCTCAGCTGGTCTGTGGCTCTTGGGAACACAAGGCCAGCGCACCAAGAGCCGGTTCAGCACGGCTGTCATTCCAGCCATGGAGACCTGCTCCAGCCACTTCAGTGACACTTGTGCCTCAGCTTGGCCCATCATCACATCAGCGTTGCTTTACAGAGGATCTCCGCTTCATGCTTCAAGAGTTACTGCACACGAGGCTTCCCAGCTTCCAGCTCCTGCAGGCAAGTGGCCGTGGAGGGATCGCTGATGTTCAGGTAACTCACGCCAGAGAGAACCGATGGAGCAAAGACAACCTAAGGGCAAGGGACTGCACAGTCTGTGACTCTCTGCAGTTGCGCTGCCGTTTGTGAAACATAGAGCCAGCATAAGCTTCGCGCTGCTGAAACGACGAAGACCATCAACAACCCACCGAGGAACGTGAGCACCTCGGCATGACTTTCCACCATCGCCAGCGCAACAAACTGCCTTCCTTCCACAACGCGACCACGCACACCCGGCAGGGAGCAAAACAATTTCAACAGGTGCTCATGTTTGTTAGTGCCATTGCATACATACTCTACATTGTTCAATGTATTGATTCGTAGTGGCATGATTAGCAGTGTCATGTTAACGAGATTGCTGCTGCGACACCGACACCGCACCATCGCGAGCAATGGCAACAACAAGCACCAAATAACAAAACACCAACAGAGACAACTACAGCAGCAGCAGCAGCAGCAGAACAACAACGACGACAACCACAACGGCAATCGCAATCATAGCAACTACACGTACAAAAACGACGACGACGAAAACGACGACCACGACTACTACTACGACGACGACAACTACTATTACTACTACTAAGAACTACTACTGCTCATGTTCTTTCTCCAGCTTGTCCTCGTGCTGCTGCCGTTGCTGCTGCTTGTGCTACGCGACGACGACTACTGCTACGACCAGTGCTGCTACTGCTACTGCTACTACAACTACAACTACTACTACTACTACTACTACTACTACTACTACTACTACTACTACTACTACTACTACTACTAGTACTACTACTACTACTACTACTAGTACTACTACTACTACTACTACTACTACTACTACTACTACTACTACTACTACTACTACTACTACTACTACTACTACTACTACTACTACTACTACTACTACTGCTACTACTACTACTAATAATAATAATAACAATAATAATAATGATAATAATAATAAAAAAATAGTAAAAATAATAATAATAATAATAATAATAATAATAATAATAAAAATAATAATACTAATAATAACAATAATAATAATAGTAATAAGAATGATAATAATAATAGTAATAATAATACTAATAATAATAATAACAATATTTTTACCAAGAAATACTACTAATATCAATACTACTCCTACTCTACCACCACCGCTACCACTACCACTACAGCTACCGCTGCCGCTACCGCTACGACGACGACTACGACGTTCAAATCACCCAGCAACATGTACCGCCTATGTCACTAAACTGTTTCAGCGGGGCTGTGTTGTGCTCAGCCAGGAGTTCATCCTAAGGCTCCAGCCACTCTGGTGAACTTGAGGCCTCCTTGGACCTGCACATGCGAACTTCAACTCCATGCAGGAGTCGGGGTGTGGAGTTTCGGACTAGGTATGTGCTGTGCTGTGGGGTGCTTTGATCTGTACGGATTTGGCCTGTGCATTCACGCTTTCGGCAGGGGTCCACAAGGCTTACTAGGAAAAGCTGGCGCGTTTCGTCGTGGGTTCATGTTTTCTTTTTGGAGGGGGGGGTGCCAGAATTAAACATGCAGGGCAATACATATATGTAATCCGCCGAGGCCAGAGGCCCAAGCGTCTTGGGGTTAGCTCAGGTAGCCTCCACGTCGCCCTCCCCCCCTCCCCCCCTGCCCCACCCACCCCCCCCCCCCCGCCCCCTCTGCACCCCTCTGCACCCTCTGTCCCCCACTTCTGGATCCGCTCTGCTCTTTCACATTACAGAAGCAAGGATGAGTTCTGTCACAGTGCTGGTCTCCGGCAAGCCGAGGCAGGCGGCGTAGCGCTAACACTAGGTATAGATGCAGATACAAATGGAAATTTACACGGACATGCACATATGCTCTATATACATATCTATCTAACTATCTATCTATCTATCTATCTATATATATATATATATATACATGCGTGCACATGTATGTAAGTAAGTACGCTTGTATGTATGTGTATATGTATGTACGTATATTTACATACAAATGTATAACATACATCGATCCGTACATATCTACACACCTACATGCACAATTACATACATGTCATGCATACATAGTTGCATAACATACATCATCTGCGGTACACCCGTGATATTATCGCAGCTTCAGGTGCATTCGCCACGAATAAGCATCGAATGTAAGCCGTAAGAGTGACCGCACTTCCCGTCACGTGACACGAAAACCCCACCCCGCCTCTCCATGCTTCCACGCTCAGCGGTCTGGGTGACAGAACCCTACTCAAGACTTTGCCTAAGCATTCAGATTCAGGTCCCAATAATATAGGGACCCTGGTACTTAGAATAGGGCTTTGGGGGGGGTCTATTCTACGAGAATTACCATAACCAGCCCCCCGAAAACCCTATTGCAATTCTCAAGGCCCTTACATTACTCTCTGGGGCGACCGACCTGGAAGTTCTTCCAAAGGAGATCTGCAGCGTCTGGAACCTCCGTTCTTGTTATGGAACTTCATTTAAAATACCATGATGAGGAAAAATATGACTTATTCTTTAGATCCCTATCACAGAAGAGGACATCTGGGAATGTCGGAGAATATTCTAAGGTCCGGAAATGGAGTAGATAAGGGTTTGGGTACATCGTCTAACTATGTCCCTGGACCAAAAAGGAAACCACCCTTTAACTTACATCATTTAGGCTTACTTCGCTTGCAGCTTCCGCATGAAGTGCTTACCGTCGTTGATGTCCTATGGTGCTCGGCATATGCCACTGTGCCCGGCAGTGCAGCGGAAGAGGAGCTAGAAGTACCTGCTGCCCAAAGCCTTTTGGAGCCGATCAACAGTAGAGGTATGACTCGGGCGATGGACTGCGAATGAAAGCTCCTATCATTGGCACAGCTCCGTGACACTGATGCCCGTCCTCGGCAACCGTGATCGGAAACTTTCCACCTGGGCTCGAAAGCTGTAGAGTTTCGATGACCCTTTCCCTTTATCGAGGCTGACGGGATAGAAGTCTCTTCGTTTCCTCGCTTTTCCCTGCGTTAGCGTCCGCCTGCTCCCCGCCATGCCCTCCATCGCTAGTTGCTGCGCTCGTGTCATTTCTTGCTTCACATTCCAGCTGTCCATGATGCATCCAGCACGGACTGGCTACGAAGACCCGGATCACTAAACCGTAAACCCCAAAGCTATGGGATCCGAAACACCGCCATCCCAACACCGCTGCCTCCCGAAGCCTTGCTTCAAATTCATCTTCTTCTTCAGCAGATAGAGGGTTAAGGAGTTGAGGCCATTAGGGCTTAGAGCTATGGCTTTCAGGTTTGCGGTTTCAGTTTTAAGGTTCAAGGATTTTACGGTTGTTTGAGGCTTCTTTTTTGAAGGTTTTTGTTTTTGAACCCTCTTTTCTCCCCGCCTAGGTTAGGTTGGTTTCGAGGGGTTTAGGGCCTAGGGTTTAGGGCTTTGAGGTCTCAAGGCGCCTGGGGCCCTGGGCACCCAGCGGAAGAGCATCGCTGCACTTAGCCGGGCTGCACCGCTTGGACCCCGACCTGGCTTCGGTTTAGGGTTTAGGGTTTAGGACCCCGACCTGGCGTTCGAAGGCTTTTTCTGCCGGTCTAATATGGGAGTTTCCGAAAATTCGGGGTACCTTACTTCGGGGGTCCTCATAACATAAGGATCCTAGTATTTTTGAGGTACTATATTAGGGTCCCCTTTTTTCGGAAACTGCCATATGGGGGGAATTCGTAATCGGAATCGACTCTGATTCTGTAGGGACTATAAGGGATGTTGTTAAACAGAAATCCAAACCGCTATCTCATGTCCCCTAGGCTGAGGATTCAACAGCATGCCATGGACTAACATGTTACAGACTGACTCTATGCAAAGGTGACGCTTCATCTTCATTCATCTTGCTGATGCAGATCCCTGGGCTGAAAGGTTCACCGACCGGGCTGCTCGGACTGCTTCGGAACTTTTATTCGGACGCACCTACATCAAGACAAGGCACTTACAAGACTGGACTGGACTTCCACACTCCAGCAAACCATGGCGCCGGCTGGCGACGGCGCACAGTCACGAAGCCGCGTAGGCTCACCGAGCAAGTCTAAAGAACATCAGAGACTGCGTTTGCTGCAAGAGCCTGGAAGCCAAACTACCTACGATCAGGGCTAGGTTCAACCCACACGACACGCAGGGCCACCGAAAACATTCCCAATGTGTGCCCGTGCTGTATTCTCGGGTGCCACCCTACATATCACAAGCTGGAGTTAATTAAGGGCTTGCAGGTACTATGAGAAAAGCGCATTCTGGCCTTGCTTGCTGGCTTGCGACGGCCTCTTGCAAGGGCACATTCCCACTCCAGGTCTGGGGAGGCGGCTGGTAAAGACATGGATCATTTGAATCACAACTCTTCTGAACCAGTGAACCAGCTCTTGCAGGTGCCGGCATGATTCACAGTTCCATTCTGCCTCTTGCCGCCGAGCAGGGCTTGTGACCTAGACATGCAGACTTGGTATCAACGCTGTGGTCATGCAAGGTGCCGTGACAACGAAACTCGACATGCTCCGAGCTGGGCCGCAAGCTCGTCATCCGTATCGGCCTGGCAATGATACATATATCATATAGTACGGTATAAGATAAGATAATATGACATAATACAATGCAATATCATTTATGTAGTGCGATAAATATATCAGAGGCTCCGCCAGCGGCCATGCAAAGCTATGATGGGACCCAGCCGCGCGGCCTCATCCATCGACACCCTGCTCTCACTCTGCCGAAGCTGTCGTCGGATCTCAACCTCAAGACACTGCTTCAACAGCCGGACCTGTATCGAGAGAGAGAGAGAGAGAGAGAGAATGAGAGAATGAGAGAGAAAGAGAGAGAGAGAGAGAGAGATAGAGAGAGAGAGAGAGAGAGACAGAGAGACAGAGAGCGAGTACATACATGCATACATCCTTCTTTATACATATGTACATGCATACATACGTACATGCATTGAACAACGAGCCAGCTCCCTACCTACATAGAAGCGTGCACGCGTGCATGCACACAGACACGGCCAAACGGTCAAATGCATGACCCCTCTGTACTTCCACGCATGTGAAGACACACTTCCATCCAGTCATCGTTGCAGACGCGGGCATGAGTCACGCAAACCATGAAAGGTTGTCACGTCCACATGCCGGCATTACGATCGTGCCGTGGCTCGCAGCAAGCATAATCGTTGTGTTCGTCGTTCTCTTGCGAACAAATGTCGTGACAGTCGAAGATTTCTAGCAGCCATGAGAAGATGAAACAGTTGACGACTACTCCAGCAGGATATTACGGAAGCTGCAAAGTAATTAGGCGTTTTACACACGCGCACACACACACACAAATCTGCTTGTACAGATATGCGTTAAGTCATGAACATGCATTGTGGGCCGGACAAATCTTCGGAGGCAGAACTCCCGGTCTTCTTCCCGGGAGAAAACGACAACGGCTTGGCCAGAGCTCACGAGGCTGTCAAGCACCTGGGGGTTAGCAATTACAGCTGTGATCGAAGCGGGCGGCTTCCGTAGAATCGTGGAAGAATCACAAGCACCAGCAGTATGTTGTTGTAGGTGGTGGGGCAGTAGGAGTTTAGCTTCCGAGTTCGAGGACCTTCAGATTCATGGGTCGGTAGCTGCAGATCTCCTCCAACCCTCCAAGCCCAGCATGGGAGCTGGTCAAACCGAACTGCTCTTGTCCTTCATGTGATTCCATGTGCTTCGATCGTGAAGATAGAGGAGCCAGCTACTGATCGAAACCTTTCAGTGAACTGAGGTCAAGCAAACGTTAACTTGCGGACATCCGCAATCAGCAGGAGCAAGTCAATGCCAAACAAAGCGCATCCGATGAAAGCTTGCGGGGAGAGTTAGCTTCAACGTAGTTGCAGCATCAGCACCTCATCACCATTCCTACAGGCAGATGCAGTACTAGTAGCACTAGCTGCTAGCTCCTGCTAGCAGTCATCGTGGTGCCGGTGGTGGTGGCAGTGGTGGCAGCAACAGCAGTGAATTTCAGCAGCAGTGGTTCTGCCTCGAAGAGTACTTGGAGGATCATGGGACATAGTAAGTAAGGCTATAAATACCCTGATTGGGGCTACAAGTATAGTTACCCTCATGATAACCCTAGTTACTAAGTCCCATGATCCTCCCGGTAAAGCTGGTCCCTTTCATCGACTCTGAAGCCCGCCCTACAAAACCGCGCAGACCCCCCTTCTCTCCTCTCACAAGCTTGAAGCTCCGGCATTGTGTTGTGAATTGTGAACCTTTTCCTCCATCATATTCGAAAAGCCAGTTGTGAAGTTTCGCGAAGAGCAGTCCTGTAGTCGCCGCAGTCTCAGAATCATATGTTTCACCTGAGTATAACTGCAAATATGCTGTATACCTCCCCACACTTTTGTAGAGGAGTACGCGCGACTGGGCCAGGCACATGTCCATCCTGGCTACTGGCCATCATCTCCCGAACGTCGGCGAGTTCTGCAGGATAAACGCCCAGGTGGGCATCTGCCTCTCGGAGATTGGCTCGCTACCATAGAGGCCTTAATAATGACCTTATGTTGGGGGGGGGGGGGCTCCTTATTATAATTATACCCCCAAAAAAATTCAAATTATTGAGACCTTTACAATATTAGCGGTGACAGTCAGAGGGCTTGAATCTTCAACCCAACAAACCTCACCCTACAAACCCAATCTAGAACCCTTAAGCCCTAAACAGTTAGCATTCGGGGCTTTCCAATTAAGACTTAACTTGTCGGCCCCTGCATGACCGATGCCTCTAGATGCTCCTGCCAAGGATACTTTCATAATGCTATTAGGAGTATGAGGATGGATAACCTAACTGCCTGTCTGTCTACCCGTCCATCTGTCTACATATCTACCTGTCTAACTATCTATCTGTCCAGCTGTCTATCCGTCTGGCTATGTGTCTATCCAGCTCTCAATTGTCGATCTACCTAACTAATCATCTATCTATATATCTATCCACATGTCCATCCATCTGTCTATCCATCCATCAATCTAACAATTTATCGATTGGTCCGGCTTGTCTTGCATTGCCCGAGAACCCTTTTGAAGTCTCGCATCACCTCAACAAGCACACTCCCTGCCACACGCCTGCTCCGCCACACGCAAGATTCGATTCTCTACAAACTCCGCTTCCTCGGAGAGGTCGTAGGCAATCGACACCTCACATTCACCGGCCTGTCCCACGAAAAGGAAAGCACGAAGAAAAGCTCCAAGGACTCGACTCCCTCGACTTCGAAGCCCAGGATAGACTCGAAGAAGGCTTTCACCTGCCAAGGATGCACTACTCAGGCTTCTCAAAACTTTGGAGTTTAGGTTGTTGGGCTTAGGGTCGATTTGGAAACTCTAAACCCTAAACATGACACCCAAAGCCCTAAATTCCCTAAGCCTACTTGATGTGCTACCCTCCGAAAAAGAACCTAAGCTGGCGCAGCTGCACGGAGGGCCCCAGAAGGCAAGACGTGCATGTTGCAGGTATGCACCCCCTGAGGTTGAGCCACGAAACCCTAAACCCCTCAACCCTAAGCTTATCATAGCCTGAACCCCCAACCCCACAACCCTTCTTCCGAAACCCGAAGACCGTGAATGCTAAAGCCAAGACTTGGCAGACCTCGTGGGGAGAGCGAGCCGTCCTCAGCTTACATGCAGGGTGTAGGGTCAGAGCTTAAGCTTGTAGGGGTTGAGGGTTTAGGGTTTGAGAATCAGGGTTGATCAAGGTGAATGAAGAGAACCGGAAGCAACGACGTGAAATGATAGTGGTAAGTCAGATGTGATAAAACTGAGGACTGAGTAACGAACCGACCAAAAGCTCGGGTGGCTCGACAGCAGTGCTGACCGCACAGATCGTTTCGGATCCTTTCAACCACGTGTTCGGGTCACGGGTTCAGGGTTTCAAGCTTTGTGGGAACCGCCGCGCCGTGCGCCGCCAACTACTGAACAACACGTCTCTCGGGTTCCCAGGGCCGGAAGCATGGTAGAAGCAAGCCTAGGCACCTATCCATCCATCTACCTATCTTTGTAACATGCATACACACCTAAACTTGTGTGTACAAACATGTGTATGTGTATGTGTATATATAGATAGATATATACAGTTAATTACATATATATGTATATATATATATATATATATATATGTATGTGTGTGTGTGTGTATGTGTGTGTGTGCATTCACATACATACAAACATGCACATACATATGTGTATATATATATACACATATATATATATATATGTACACACCACACATAACGCGCGTCCGCGCGCGCGTGGGCGTGGGCAGGGTGCGCAGGGTGCGCAGGGTGCGAGTGCGTCAGTGGGTGGGTGAGAGCACGCATTTACGCACTTCCAGAATTAGACCAATTAATGCATGTATGCATGCATGGATGTATGTATGTATGTACGGATGTATGTATATGTGTATGTGTATGTGCATGTATATGTATACATGTATATACATATATGCATATACGTATATCTCTAATTTGTGTACGCGCGTGTATATGTGTATGCATATGTGTAGGTGTATGTATATGTCTATGTGCACGTGTACATAAAAATGTGTGTCTCCCAGTAGGTATGCGCATATGTGCATAAGCATGAACAACGATTATGCACATGTTTATGTATACATACATGTATGTTGTGCATACATATACAGGTACATGTATATGTTTATGAACGTCTGTGTATATATGTATACGCATATGTACATGCAGAACTACCCGACCAAGATTTATTATACTGTGTTGACAAGCCCGAACTCTCGGCTGCGAAATCGACAGCAATCGTCATCTTCAACTTCGAGCTTCTGGCTCGAAACTCTAGGACCATATCTCTGCAGGAAGCTCTACACCCAGCTTATGAACCATCCCTGGCGCCCAAAGAATGGCGCCACAGTCGTGACTGGTAGCAGTGTTCCCTAGTGTTGCAAGCTTCCCCCATAAGCTCTTTCACCAAAAAACCCGGGCTACACAAAGGTTTGACCTTTGCTCGGTTCTCGGGCGGAGCTGGACAACTGGATAAAGCGCTTCTCAGACTGAGGCCTGGACTTTGGGAAGCCCTCCGCCATCAGCGCATAGTCCGAGATGTGAGGCAACTGCGAAGCGTTTGATTCATTTCAGTTTTACACCGACAGATTTAAGGCCCTCGGACTTCCCAGGCAAAGGATGCACCAGAGACTTGGCGGTTCAAGACTTTTCAAGATGCAGGGTTTCGGATTTGAGGTGCTTGAAGCTTCCGGGCTGGCCGCAGTAACATTCAGGGCCTTTCTAGACCCTAAACCCTGTAATTCTAGCTAGATCCGCTAATCCTCTTATCTGCCCGATACGCCCAGACAAGCCGATTTCCAAGCTTGGGCCTTAGGATTGAGGACTGGCAGACGCAAAGGTCCTTGAAAGAGTTGCCATGAATACATCGCATCGCATATTATTCCTGCTTTTGTAATTTGTACTTTAGTGCAACCGTAAACACTAATCTCATTGTTACGATTCCCGTCAGCGTCATTGTCATAGCCAGCAAAGATGTCATGACTAAAAAAAGTTGGTACAACCAGTCCAGCAATACCAACTACCTATCATTCGTCTATTGGTGATTTATTTCAACTTTTCAACACTTCATCCTCATTACACTTATCGGTCGTCGTAGTAGTAGCAGCAAGTGCAAATATCTCTGCAGTTTCGGAAAGGGGTTGGGAAAGCTTGCAGCTCGAGTCGCCCAACTCCCACAAGGAGTCGGTAGCTTTGCGGGCTTGTCACGGGTTTCAGGGCCTTTCTTGTTGACACCTCTTTTCCGTCCGCATAACGAATGCCAGGGTGGCTGAGGTGGGTCTAAGGGAGACCGAGGGCTGAAGGGATTCACGTGCTAGCCGCTCAGTCTCCCAAACACTGGGCCTAGTGGAGTGCCCGAGTCGCCCACTCATCACATGCACACATCAATGGGACCAATAGGATGAACAGACTGGACTCTGCATGGTAGCTACCATGACACAGTGGTTCTACAGGAAGAGCTCGACAGTCATCTACTGCAAAGCTGCGCAATCAGCCGGTGGAAGAAACGCCGAACAACGACAAGACGACCAACTACTCTCGTGCAGAACACCTAGAGACAATGTTACAGGCTTCGGCAGGTCTGCTACGCAGCTGACATAGCTGTCCATCTGAGCTCCACACTTGTCAGAACCCAACATTGTGCGACTCCCAGCAAAATCCAAGAAGGCTGCAGAAACGAAGCTCTCCATGCCCAACACAAAGGCGGCGGCTTGGTTTAACAAGCGCCACCTGTGATTTCGCATAGAGCAGGTATATACAAGTCCAGAGCCACCGAGTCAAAACCCCTCGCGGTTTTCCATAAACTTCCTACGAGCTAAAGGCGAGGGCGGCAGTTCTCGTCCAGAATCACGGGACTGCTGCATCTTCTGAGCTGTTGGATGGCGTTTTGCTGCGCTGCACTACATAAGAACAGAAACATACCGGGCAACACTACAACGGGGATCATGCAGCAGTTAGCTGAACTCTGTGACGTCTTGCGAAAATAGCACGCAGCTGCTTCCCGCCGCGATTGGCTCAAAAATCCTCACCTCGCGACACCACCTCCTTGCACGTCGGCCGCAGCAGAATGGTGTGCTCCATCTGCGTGACGTACGAGCCCTTGACATCGCAGAGGGGCGGATATGGCTGGACAACGTCGTTGTCCACCAGGTTCTTCAAGGCCATCAAGTGACGGGTCGCGCCCAGGTCATCCAACCATCGTCGGCAGAAACCAAGGGTTCCAAAGTTCTGCTCAATCGTATGCAGCAAGGCCTTTGAGCTCTTCACGCGCAGGGGCACATGTTGCGCATCGAAGATCTTCATGTAGTGGGAGCACTCGAGATCCTCCACCACATAGCCTTTGCCATTGGAGGCGAAAGTTTCAATGGCGTAGAACTCTCCCTCCTCCATGATGGAAGAATCTTGGTTCTTGACAATGGGTACCTGGGTTGTACTTTAGGGGCCCTTAAACGTATTCATGACTACGTTGCTGCATAAAGAGAAATACAGAGTATACCAAACTTCATAGGGACCCTTAGCGGGGAGGGGGGGCAGGGGATATTTCCTTAAAAAGGGGCCGTCATGGCCCCCTACCCCCCCCCCCTCCCTCTACCCCCCTTAAGGGTCCCTATGAAAACTGCCGCCCAGGTACCGACTTGAAGCCGTGGATCCGATAAGGTTCGATGGAGTGGCCGTTGAGGTTCCGCACCGACTTGATTGGCCAGGTCTTGCCATTCCTATTCCGAAAATTGGGGGGGTACCTTATTTTGGGGTCCTCATAATAAGGATCCTACTATTTGGGGTACTTTCTTAGGGTCCCTATTTTCGGAAACTCCTATGCCTATACTGAACTTAGTCTTAGACCCGTAGCAAAAACCTATTACAGTTTTCAACTGCTATTTCTAAACTTGGGAATTATGCAGAACTTCTGCAGAACTAAAAGCTGAAAAATACTTCTATTTACCCCTAAGATTCATCTCGATCTCGTAGGACTCGATCGTCTCCTGGATGGCGGCCCCGATGTCTTGGAAGCGCGCGTCGATGCCCGCTTCCTTGTCTGCTTCTTAGTAGGGAGTGGGGCAATCGATTATGGAGACTACTCTTGGGGGTTCCTTTAAAGGGATCTATGAGGGATACCATAAGGCTACTATAGCATCGGGGCCCCGATCATTATTCCCTACTAAGAACCAGACAGTCCTTGACTCCAGTGTTGGTACCTGCCTGACTTGCCTCAATGATGGGGTCATACCTCTCATTGAAGGCGATGGTAAAGGCGCAGTCGACGATGCGACCACCGACTTGAACACCGAAATCCAACTTGCAAACGTCATCGTACTGCAAGACAGTTTCGTCCCCATAGTTCGGAGTGTAGTGGGCGGCCACATAGTTCAGGGAACAACCTGTTGGGAAGCCCCATCCTGCTTCAAGGCCGTTCGCTACTACCAACTCGTGGGTTTTTCTCTCCAGGCGTTGGCAGATCTCCGTCATCTTCAGCCCAGGCTTCACGAAGGACTGCACGTACTTCCTGACCTGGCGATGAACCTCTCCGGCTTTGCGGATCTTCTCGTAGTCATAGGACATGAGCCGCTCCATCTCACGCTTCTCAGCGGATGACGTCCGGAAGGCGTGCGATCCAACGTACTCGACACATTCGCCGAGCGGAAACTGGCTATCAGGATACTGCTCACTGACGGGAATGTCGAATTCTGGACTTTGCCGTGACGTGGGTACCGCAGCCCAGTTTCGGACCCGGCGGAGGGCGGTGTTGTCCTGCTCGGGGATATTGAAAGCCTTGGCCCCACCTCCTCCGGATCCGGCCTTTTTCTTCTTCTTTTTCTTCTTCTTATCTCCTGCGGCATCTGCCGCATCCACCTTGTCCTCCTCATCGCTTTCTTGCGCATTGGGTGAATCAGGAGCCCCAGCTTCTGCACTTGCCGGGACCGCTTCTTCATCCTGCGCTGCATCCCCTGCTGCGGGGCTCTTTTTCTTCTTGTTCTTCCTTTTCTTCTTGGCTGCGGCAGCGTCGGCCGCCTCGACCTCTCCCTCTTGCTTTTCTTCGGGATCTGGATCCACCATGCTCTCTGCGAAACCCAGGCGGAACCAACTACGCTGTTCCAAGCGCTCCGAGCACAAGGCTTCTGATTGAGCCAAGCGTTTTTGGGGGCTTCGGGTTTGCTTCAGGTTGCTTCGGCGACGCACAAACAGACCAGATTGAACTTTCCTCTGTCACTATACGGCGAACAGCTCAGAGACACGAAGAGCCAGCATGATCCAGCTTTAAGGCAGACTCCAACTGCGGCTCAGAACTTCCCGAACCCCAGACCCAAAGGGTGACTTCAGGCCTCCTCATGTTCGGCACGAGCAGCACGTCCTTGTGTCCAGATCCACCGGATCACAGCGAAGAAGCAAAAGACCTCACTGGACAAGGGGGGCAGAACAAAGGAGTTGCGTCGATGTCTTTCCCTGGCCCTGAGACACACTTGATCGCGATATACAAGAAGCGTACTGAATTCATGAAACTGATAGTGCAAATGATACGAAACACTTATGCTCTCATGAATAATCGGGCAGCTTTCGCCGATGCACACTCAGAGCCCGTGGAATCTATGTCTAAGCCCAGATGGGGACAATAGCAACACGACAGAGCACCAGTGAACAAAGGTAAGGGTCATCATCATGGTCATCATCATCATCACCGTCACCATAATGAACAACATCGTCCATATCACCTTGCATGGCCCTCGTCATCATCACCATCACCAAAACAGAAGCAAACCATCATCATGATGACAGTCATCTCCACCGGAATCTGAATCATCATCTCCATCATGGTCTTCTGCTTCTCATCAGCATGACTATGAGCATCAGACCGTCACCACCATCACCACCACCGCCGTCATCATTATTCTGCACCGAAAACCTTGTGCCACCACATCTACAGCGTGAAATCCTCAGCTGCGGAGGAGGTCACTGAGGTCACTGGTCGTAGTCTGTCCTCTAACAGCTGTGAAAGCGAGCAAACCTCAATTTTGCTGAAGCCCCACCAAAGCCTTCACAGCTAAACAGCCCGCTCTCCGAGACGGCAGCAAAGACCATCACAGCGTGGAGCTTCTGGGCGAGGCCTTCAGCTTGGGTTATGCCTGTAGGTATAAACCAATCACATATAAACGGATATATTCGAAGCAGAGACTGCAACTCTCTCCGAGAGCTGTATGCAGGAAGGTGGATAAGTCTTGACCCATACCCTATGATGTGGGCGTCTGTTTCTCGCCTCCACTGACCATGCAAGATTTGTCAGCAGCCAAACCAAAAATCCCGTTAGACATGAACTCCATGTCATGTCGGTGGTTGTCAAAATTAGGGTACTATATTAGGGACCCAAGAAGGGACCATAATTTTGACAACCCCCCATGTGGCTTTCAAGCTTTAGCCGAAGGATCGAAGAGCCCACGGCTGTGAGGAGAGCCGAGGTCGCGGCCAAGCTGTTCTGGTCGTATGAGTCGAGGTGAGGATGCGCTTTCTTTGGTCAGGTTAGGCAAGAAGTAGCCTGCCAAGCGAGCTCCTTGTGCTCGTGTTGGTCTTGCAAGTATCTGCCCTCGCAAGACAAGCATCGCAAGCGCCTATCAGTGACAGCACAATCAAGAAGAAGCCTCAGGCCAGGCTGCCGACATTTGAGAGACTTCTGTTGCCAGAAAATGACATGAACATCGCGCAAGCAGCGGCGGGAAGTCGGGGCAAGACACAGACGGCAAGGAGGCATACTGCAGGATAGAAAGAAGGAGAGAGCGAGCGAGAGAGAGAGAGAGAGAGAGAGAGAGGGAGGCACAGAGACTACACCGTGCTCATGCGATCACATGGCAGCGTGACATCGCGCAGGGCTCGCATCTGAGATCCGAACTGAGAAGCGCCTCCACCCATGCGGAAGACATCAATGCTGAAAAGCAACAGGAAGTAGAAGTTGCATGCTGGCAGTGTGAAAAATTGTCGGATCTTTAGACCACCCAGACAAAATGCCCTCCCTTAGTTTCATAGAGCCGTGAGCCCGTTCCCGAGTCCTCAATTGCATGGGATGGTCTGGCATCAGTTGCCGTCTGCTTGTTCGGTTGAAGATTCCCCCTTAGGTGGACGGTATCTCCCAGCGATCAAACGTGGCAAGCCCGAGTCCCCAAGCGCGAGAATCCTGAGACGCTGAATCGGCCCTAATATAGGTATATATATAATATATATATATATATATATATATAATATATATATATATATATATTCTAAAATCATTTCAATAAGGAGTCATCCAAAACCCTATAGTCTAATTTCTAAGGACCCTACATTACCCCGCAGAATCCTCCCTCCATTTCGACGGTACGGCCTGGAATGCCAGGTGTCGGAAGTAGAGAGCCGGGGCAAGACCCGAAATGTTCTCCCTGGCAGGAGTTGAGTTTGGACACGGTTGAGTTTAGGGTTTAGGGTTTAGGGTTTCGTGCTTCCTCATATGGGAGTTTCCGAAAATTAGGGGTACCTTGTTCTCGGGTCCTTATGATAGGGATCCTACTACTGAGGGTACTATATAGGGTCCCTATATGATGCACCCTGTTTGGTTAGACCCAAAAACTATGAAAAAGCACCACGACGGCCATGACGTCCACGACCACAAGGACCGCCAGGACCGTTTGCACCACCACGACGACCACTATACTACGACGAGGAGGACGACCACGAGAAGAGCACGAGGAGACCACCAGGAGACGGAGCATGGCAAATATGCTTCCCCCTATACACCGACTCCCATATAAGAGAAAGAAACCTAACTTCCGGAATAGGAGAAGAGACACTGCTGAGCCTCTGCACGTTGGTGGCAAGCAATGGGTAAAACCTTGAGATCAGCTGCAGCACCCAGTCGGGCAGAATTCGCAAAGTGAACTTCTTTATCCCTCATGCCAGGGCCAGGGTTCCAGCACATTACCCGGGACGGAGTAGTTGTGGACCTTTGCCCGTCTCCGATGTTGCAAACAATGTTCGAGGGCTCCTGCAACCATGCACAAAGGCAGGGGCGCGGTGTGCTTCGCAGTCTGCTGGGGCCTAGAGCTTGGAGCTTAAGGTGCAGTCCAGCAAAAGCGCATGTTCTGCAGGATGGCGGTCTGCAGCTGATCATGCACCCTCACACTACCCGCAAGTGTCTGCAGCTGATCATGCACCCTCACACTACCGCAAGTTGCAAGCAACACGGATGCTGCAGGCTCAAGGAAATTCAGGAGTCAACACTATGCCAACTGCTGAAAGCCATCCCACTCTGCCTGGGCTGCGGGCCGAGACCAGGCTCAAGCAGAGAAATCTGCGGGCGGATGTGGTTCCGTGCTGGGGTGTGTGATCGGTTTGATGTGACCTTCGCCTGCATGTGCTTCAGTCTTCACGAAGCCCCGGCAAATCTGAACCTCCCGCCACTGCACCACAAGCAGACACAGCCCACCTCAGCAGCGTCAGCACAGCAAAGACCATCGTGAAGAGAAGCAGGCCGGCGAAGATGAAGACTGCAGAATACGAGCCAAATGGAGAGCATGCTTCGCTTCGTGGTCCTGGTACATCTTAGATTCTTAGATGCTTGAACTGGTCATGCGATGAGCATGAAGATGTCAGAAAGTATCGAACCTGTAGGACTTCTGACTATTTCCTGGTAGCGGGGTCCGACTGTTCTTCATAGTTGCGGCGTCTTCCCTCTAATCTGCATCCACCAGCTGCCGTTGGATGCAGCTGCATTTACAACAAAATCGACTGACTAGTGTTCAGGGTTTATTGGGGTTTAGGGTTTAGGGTTTATTAGGGTTTTGGGATAATTATGGGTTTTGGGTTTACTGACTGCGGCCCTGGCTGAACACAGAGACGCACTGCTTCTCATCTTCGCCGAGGCTGCCAAGCAGACTCCCGATTGCATCGTCCGGGCCCAGGAGGAGGCGCGTGAGTGGAAACATGCACTCCTCCAAGCAGAGGAACCCAGTTAAGGTGCATTGAAACATGCGTTTATAGTCTGTATATGAATATGGTGATGCTTCCTTCATTCATATTACTGTATGTAGCTCCCCCCAGTCCACCAGATATGAAAGGAGAGTGGAAGACAGGAGGTGCGACCGCTTTCGATGGCGGGTCCTGGCAGCCATCCTCTTTGCTGCAGGTGTCGCACCCCGCCACGGCGCAGGCATGACAGACCTGCTCAACTCCTACAAGGTTTCATCAGCTGTGCGGCATCTCTGACATGCTCCATGCAATGAGCTGAAGAAAAAGGCGCGACGGGAGACCTATATGTTCATCACAGGCTACACCGCGATGCGCTTCGTTACCCTGCTTGTTTCTCGCAGCCCTCAAGACTTGCTGTACTCCCTAAACGCACAAACTTGAGATCCACAAAGCCTGCTGTGCATCAAGATAGGTGGCCTGGAAGTTGTCCGCATACGTGGTCATAGGGCGGTTCTGCAACATCTCTTGATGGACTCTTGCAAACTACATGATGCAAACGCCACATAATCTGCTAAGGGCGGTGCGACTGTACAATTTGTGGCGCTGGAAGCCAAATTTCCGATGAAATACCTGGGCAACAGGAGCAACAATCAGTTGTCGAGCCCAAACCCTAAACCCTATAAACCCGACACCGAAAAACCTGATAGAACCCTTAAAACAGCCCAATAAGAACACCGAGGCGACTACCGTTTGCCATTGACATGCTCGCATGGGTTCCGCCCTGTCCACGCTGTCAGAGGAACCGGCTCCATGGCATCATGCAGCGATACGTCCCCTACTTCAGGAAAGCTTCAAACCATGTGGCAATCTGCTCTGGCTGTACTGTCTGCTGATGGCTCCGATTAACATCGTTCATCGGCGGCGTCCGCTGTAGGGGCTGATCTTTGAGGTAGCTAGCTTTCAGGGTCTGGCTGGACTGGCCAGTCAAGCCATGGGATGAAGTAGAAGTTGGGGTTGGTGGCGCATGAAAGCCCAGCTACAAAGCAGACTTTCCTCTGGGCTCCATGTTGAAACTGTTCATCCATTTCCGGTCTTGTGTATAGTATGTATCGGCGTTTTCTTCGGGCCTTGTCGCCCCTATGCGCCAGCAGCTTGAGGCAGCGAAGCACAGGCACAAGTCAAAGGACGGTGTGCTATGCTCGGTTTCGGAGGACGTTGGGAATACTGGCTTCCACGATCCACTTTTCCATGAGCTCACGTCTGCAAGTCATCATCACGTCTCGGATGCCATCATCACGTCTCGGATGCTTCTCAACTGCTGGCCTGCGGAATAGGCATGCAGGATTCTCGCCGGTGTTCAATACCATCAGACACTATCCACAATCTGAACGCAGGAACACGCTCACAATCAGCATCCTGACTACTGTTGAACTGTTTCGCTACTGCTTCTGTATCAACTTATTGTCGAGTTGCCCGAATCAAGCACGCTACCCAAAGCCAGAATATCAAAGATGGCCATCATGACAGGACTGGATAGGAACAGTCGGAAGAATAGGTCGCCTCAGTCATACGAAAAGCGAAAGGATTGTTAGTGTCAGAGCACTATAATGACCTGGCCACACAGCTGCTTTTCCGCCGTTGCACCTAGAAGTACTGGGAGACGCTTTACACCCGAAGCAGTGTAGCATTATATGGCATCTTTACATCCGTAGCCGTTTAGGACTTTGGCACTGCAGTGCTCTTAAGCCCTGCATGCCCTGAAGGGTTGCAGGTTCATGGTATTGCGAACCATGCTATATACCCAGGACGCGAGCCCGAAAGTTTTGCATTGCATGTCGCGTCATTTTGCTTACAATGCCACAAACCAGACATCTCCTCTGAAAGCCGGCCTCTTTCTTCTTCTGCTCATCAAAGCGCTTCTGCGCCTATGCTTGCCGCTCATACTATAGCAAGCAGCATACAGTAGATCCACTAGATGCTGTCGTTTACATGACAAACCTTCGCGTACGCAAAGATTCATGCATAATGTATGTGGTGCAACAATATCGGTGTATACATACACACATGTACGTGATATGTATAGTGGAGGTAGTGCTCGGGGTTCGGCAGCGCTCAACCTACAGAACACAATCCTTGTAGCTGGCGATATAAAAATCAAGAAGGCGGGAGCAGTTGTCAACTGCAAGCAAATCACTACCGTGGGCTTCTCACGCCCTAAAACTGTTTCGGAATCAAAGAAGCTGGACTCATTTTATGGGCCCTCTCTCAAGATGTTAGGAAACCCAAGCCACATAAAGCAAAAAAGACCACTGAAAGGCCTCTTTCTGGGCGTTCAGGCGCTCCTCCTTCTCCTGTGCAGGGTTACCGTCTCCGTGCAGCTTGTATTTGGATCCTCTCGAGATGCCACACGATGAGCACATGATCTTGTGGACTCCAGGTCCTTTCGAAGACCACAGTCAATCTTACTTCCAAGCCTGTGTCTGTATCTGTATGTATGTAGTATGCAGGTATGTAAGTAGCTATGTAGGTGTGCGAGAACCCCTCCTTCACAACGACACCCGACATCGGCACCCGCCTCCGGTGTGCACTTCATACCACGCTTGGCGAAGGCCTGGCAGACAAGGCAAGTCCGTCGGCTACGTGGAAGCGGGCCCAAAGCTCCGACTTACTTCAATATAAGTTGGTATAATATACTGCAATATAATACAGTATAATACAGTATAATATAGTATGATATAGTATTCAAGAAAGTCTGTTTGCCCAACTATGCATGGCTACGAAGGCGCAGCCGACCTCGAGAATCTAGGTTTTGAGACTGGATACACTGATTGCGAGGACGTGAGGGTTCAGGGGGTACAGGCCGCAGACAGGGCCTACATTACCAAGGCAGTACCATACAGCTCCTGTATCTTGGGCGGGGTGTGCAGCTCGAGCATGTCTGGTCTAGTGAGGTCGAGGATGTCGGGCAGCTCGTGCATGAAAACAAGCAGCAGCCAAACCCGGCACCACGCGCACAACACCACCCCTACAATGCCGGCTGCAGATCTAACACTCCCGTAGCACAAATGCTGTCGCTCCTTTTCATGCGCCTTTGCCGCGCTTGGTCTTCTGATTCTCTCGTTTCTCACGCCGCTCTACGGTTGCATTGCTCTCATTGAAGTCATTCGCGTAATCAAACGATTTGGTGCCGTTGGTCTTGTCCTGAGATGCACTTGACGAGGATTTGTCCGACTCGTGCTGCGAGGGGTGGGTCCATTGGTCCATGCTAGATATGGCATCTATACACGGCACGGTTGCGACGGACATACTTCAGGGATCATCGGACTTAGAAAGTAGGGTTATAAGTATAGTTACCCTAATTATAACCCTACTTACTAAGTCCCTTGGGTCCCTTGATCCTTTAAGTGCAATTTCTAGGAATTACTGTCTGTAAGGAGTCTCGGCAGTCCTGTGTTCCGCTTCACGAGATTGCACCTATCCCTAAGGGTCCAAGTACTCTCTATCATAGGACTTTGGCCTCTTTTTGTGCACCCAAAACCATAAAAGTTGCGACTCTTTGGGTGCTTTTGAGGTACCCAAAACCACGAGGACTTCTTGGAATCTGAGGGTATCCAAAACTGGCCAGGCGGCATAGAGGGCCAAGGCCTCCATAGCCAAATCCTCATTCTTCACGAGGCGGCCTCGAAAGGATTTTTGAAAGAGCAGAAGAGGGTTTAAACACAAAAAACCACTGCCGACGCGTAGGGTTTTCAGGGCAGGGCCCCACTGAACTGCTTGGGATTTAGGGCTCAAGTCTGGCGAGTCTTCTGCCCATGTTCTTCAGTAGGCCAGCCTTGTGTTGAGCCCCAGAGTCCGATCAACCCATTCAACTGCTCAAGGTCGCTTTACAATTACGCATCATACATTCTGCAGCTACATCTCGATAGAGTAAGGCATCAGGTTCGGAGATGGTGGGTTTAGGGTTTAGGAATATGGCATACATGAAGTACGCCGTAAGGCTCCGCGATGAGGGCTTTGGATTTCAGGGTTTGGGGCCTAGGTTTGGTTTCAAGTTTTGGGGGTTGGGTTTAGGGTCCTACTTGAAGGATCATGGGACTTAGTACCTAGGGTCATAATGGGGGCAACTATACTTATAACCACACATAACCCCAATTCAGGTACTTATAAGCTTACTTACTCAGTCCCATGATCCTCCAAGTAGGGGTTCGATGGCCCCAGACCCTACAAGTAGCTCTGGGCACGAGAAGAACCCTCCAGCCTACGCGGGTCAGAAAGGCGTCGGCCATGTCTTTGTCTCCTCCTTGCAAGCCCAGCTACGGTTTCGGGCTGAGCTCTGACTTCCACCAGTCGAATGTGTTTATACACACATGTTGGACTTGTTGCAGATGTGCACTTTACACGAGCACCGACCACATGTAATTCATGGCCTGGTCGATAGCACAGATCAAGGCGCAGATCAACTTGAGTTTCACATGTCTCTATACTCTATGTCTTTTCATTTTTTTACGAGGGCCTTTGCCCTTGAGCCATACGACATCCCGGAATCCAATTGCTGGGGGCAGCCGTCGGTTTTCGGGTCTGGGGTTTTAGGGATTTTAGCATTGCATAAGGGCAGTTGTCTGCATTTCAGGCTATTCGGATCCAGATGGGTTCGTCTCTGTGTGCATCGATAACTCCATTAAATGTACATAATGGAAATTTCTGAACGGGTTTGCGACACAGTGTCATGAAACTAAGGAGGGACCATGGGACTACCGTCTGCCTGTTCTTCTGACCACTGCATTACGAACCCAGGGCAAGCCAGTCCAGAGAAAAGAGCAGCTCCTGTATTGTAGAGGGTCTGGGCCAAGAAAATCCAGCCATAAGCTAAGGTCAAATTGTCCTCAGCGAAGCTCGCGTGACATGACTTTCCTTCTTGCAGGTATCTTGGTTCACACCCTTCAGCATGTGATGGACAAATTGATGATGTGATCGGACACCAAACTTGGTTGTCTCAGAGTCCACCTTTCAACGCCCAAAGCCAAGCAGTCGAGATGCAACCAAGGGATCTTGAAGTAGTTCTTCCTCCTGCTCCACGAGGAGTACTGCGAGCTCCTCGACCCTGCTTTGCAGACTTTGAGCTTCAGGCGAGCGCGAGAAAGACGGTTTAGAAGTTGCACGCGCAGAAGGCCCCCCAACATCAAAGAGCTTCCGACCAGCGGAGTTGTAGTGGTTGTGGTCGTGGTCGTGGTCGTGGTCGCGGCAGTGGCACTGCTTAGTGGTAGTGGCAGTGGTGGTGGCAGTGGTCGTCGTAGTAGTACTAGTGATAGTAGCCGTAGTAGCAGTTGTTGTCGTAGGTGGTACGGGTGTAGTGGTGGCGGTGGTGGTGGTGGTGGTGGTGGTGGTGGTGACGCGGTGGTTCTTTTTATGTGTTTTTCATTTGCTTCTTCATGATGTTATGCTACGTAGCGCCACTACAGCAGCTGCTGCCACTCTTGCTACTCTTCATGCACCTAGTGCTAGTGGTAACTGTACCTTTCTTGTGAATGCCACCACAACCGCGATCCACGAGATCGCCACGACCATGATTCTTAGGACAACCAGACATTTTGGGACAGTGCTAGCTTTAGTAAAACAGTTCATGAACCTAACCATGTTGCAGCAAAGTGCCTGCTTTATCATGCTGCCCCAGTGGCGGCCGGCCAGGAGCAACAGTACTAAGGCTGCAAGCAAGCTTACCACAGCACTTGGACAAGCTACATATATCATCTGCAGAAATAGAAGATACACATATTATAGTACCGAAAACCCACAATCCCCGCCATGCAGCTCTTTCCCACCCCATCTGATAGCCTTGACTGGTCGAACTGCGCAGCTTGGCCGGCCGCAGCGAGATGCAAAGGCGAGGCTCTTAAGGCGTCGTCGAAAAACTCGGCCTGCTGCCGACCTCTCAAAGGCTTCAGGCGATGTTTGGGGGCATGCGGCCGCAGCGCTTTTGCGGGGGATCCGGGCTGGAAAACCATAGTCGGGGCTGCGAAGCACAGGCACCACAAGAGAGGTCTTCAGCGACTCCAGACAAGCAGCTAAAGGGACAGTAGCCGTCATTGCAGATCTCGCCGAGCAAGGTACCTAGCAGATCGCACTAGCAAAGACGTCTCTTATCCTTAGCGGCCCGAAGCTGACCCTTAAAAAAAGGCTCGTGTGCCAGCCTCAGAGAGGGGTCTCTTCTAGAGCCCTTTAAAGGGACCCTTATTATAGTACCCTCATAGTAAAGGAACCCCCCCAAAATACAACAGTCTGCCGGCTGAACACCAAAAGCCGCTGTAAGGAGTCCGAGTCGCTCCAACTTCTGAGCATCCCTCAATCTAAGCGTAGGAAAAGGTGCCTTGAGAATTACCCATACCATGTTGAGGGTTCCTTTTGTTTTAAAGTATATAGTCTAATATACCCCCCCAAAAGCCTATTCTAATTATTATTAAGGCCCCTATAGTAACCCTGAAGCCGCTTTGCCGCCCGGAGGCAGGCATCTGGATCACTGGGAGCAGCAGCAGAGCAGCCCTTGATCAGTTGATGCACGTCCTTGTCCTCGAGCCAGTTCTGCCATCCTCGGCAGTATTGACAGGAATTTGACTGCAGCGGAGCGGGTGCTGCTCTGCGGATCTCATACTTACTCCTCGAATGGCTATGGCTACAAGGTCAGGCAGAAACTAGCGCTTTCGCTTACTTACTTTCGACTCCGATCCTAGTACGATGTCGGCACGAGGCGTTCTTCTCCTGCCGGCGCTCGCTGCAGCATGTGCTGATCCGGATAGACTATGGACAGAAGAATGGGGCAGTTTCGGAAACAAGGCTTGGGCAGCCACGGACGGGGGAGTCTGCCGATTCTATGAGTACTTCTGCACCATCATAATCGGAATACCCGCAATGGTCGTGAACGCAGGCAATTTCCATCCGGCCCAGTGCTGAGCACAAGCGGATCTCAGCGACATCATGTATTTGCGGAAGGATCTCTTTGTCTGTGTATGTATATATACACGTCTACGTCTATGTCTACATCTACATCTATATCTATCTCTATATGTGTGTATATATATATATATCAACGGACCGGAACCATCAACTCCAATATCACGTCTTCCTCATTTAGCTTGCCGGGGAGCCCAAACAAAGGGAATCGTCCAGGTTCAGTGTGAGGTGAGGCCAGGCAGCAGGAAGATACCTTTTCGCTTTACGTCCGCACAGGATTTGTCGGCATTGAACGGCGGAAACTAACTGGAACGGTTGCACAGAGCACAATGACATCACCATGCGAAACAGGTTGAACCTGAGACACCTTCGAAATCCTTCACCGGGCCATGAAGCTGACGAGCGGTGTGTTGCGGTGTGGGGTGTAAGGCTTGAGATTGTGATGTACAGCAGAGATGCCAAGCTGCACGAAATCGCCCGGGTGTTGCACGAAGCTGATGGGGCGCTCTTCTGGCAGCAGGCTCGGCAAGACCACACGGGTCCAATTCAGTGAGCCTTAAGCGAGCCAGTGACTGAAGCATTCGGCGGGCTCTGAACGATTATGGGGCTGAGGCTCAGGGCACATGGCTGCTCGAGCAAGCTGGCGGATCCACAAAGGCCGAAACACGCGGACACAAGCGGTTCTCCCACGATTTGGGCCGTGAGGCCATCAAACCAGCGAAAGTAAAGTGTCAAAAGCAGACTACAAGTATCTGCTATTGTCAGCCTGAGAGTCATGATGGACAAGCTACCCCTACTCGCGTAAACGGGTTTAGGCACCAGGCGAGGGTTTCTGCAAGGCCAACACCAGTGAGCACCAGCCCTAGCCCACATCCGGAGAAATGACAACAAAAGTGAGGGCGATGATGGTAAAGAAGATAGAATGGTTGGAGACTGCCAATAATGCTGCTCCGTCAGTTTCCCATCCTGGTCTGTGTCTGTGCGTACTGATTTCTTGCTCGCCTAGTTCCTGTTGACTTCCTTGTGGTTACCCTGGGTTCCTGCCCATTAGGTAACTAGTTATTAAGGCCCCTGTACTAAACCCTTAATAGTAGCCCTTATAGTAACACTTGTAAGCCCCTTTACAGGATTGCCGCCTCCTCATTACCACTGCACCCAGCTGAACCGTGAGCCTTGCCCTGCCTGAACTAGCAGAGCCGAACCCCCGAATTAGCACAGGCCGAAAGCTCATAATGTAGGATTAAGAAACCCTGGGCCTTATAACCTCAAAATAGTAGGATCCGTCTAAGGAACCCGGATAAAGGCCCAAGGTTTCTTAATCAGGTTCCTACAGCTACACTAGTCTCAGTTGCCGAGGAAGGGATGCCCGCGCTGCTTGGCGCCGGTAGTGCCAGGAGGAAAAGTGAACCATCCTTGCAACGGCTGCGCAGCTTTGGCTGGGGATCCAAAGTGATTTTTCGGACGTTTCAGAAGGGCTCTGATCACTTAGTTCAGAGCTTCGGCTAGTGTGGCAAAAGATGGCGAAACAGAGAGCAAGCCGGACCACCATCATACCATCATGCCCTGACGTGCTAAGCCTGTTCAAGACCGGAAAATGCGAGGCTTGCGGCCAGACGCTAACATTAGGCAATATATATATATATATATAGAGAGAGAGAGAGAGAGTATTTATAGTATATTTGTAGTGTACATATAGTATATATATATATATATACATACATAAATAGCAGGGGCTCAAGGAGGCAAGCCAAGCATCGCTTCGTGCCCACCGAGCAAAGCAGGTAGCCTGAGGCATGGTTGGTCCAATGCCTTTGCCAGCCTACTTACAGGATCAAGGGACTTAGCAGCTAGGGTTATAATTAGGGTAACTATACTTATAACCCCAATTAAGGTACTTAGCATCTTATTTACTAAGTCACATGATCCTCCAAGTACTTCACAGACATAAACCTGCCACATCCCAAACCATAACTGCAGATTATCATGACGCCAACAATCACCACCAAGACCCCAAAAACAAAATGGCACCGGCACCGCGCGACCCCCACCTAAGTCACCACAAAACCGTCTACAACATCACCAAAAGAAGATGATGACAGTGCCAAGGGCAAGGGACTCTCCGCGTGTGTGTGCCAGGGAATTCCCGACCTCGGCCCTCCAGCCGACAGAACCGGAACTATGTCCTCCTCCATCCTGACAGGCTTTAAGTGCCCCTAAACCCAAACCCTAAAACCCTAAATGCTCAACCCCTAATTAAACCCCAAACCCCTAAACCCTAAACCCTTTACAGTAGAGGCCAAAAAATTGGAAACCCAATAGCCTCAATCCTCGAGAGTAATGTGGCCTTAATCCGGTTTCCAACTTTATGGGGTTTACTGTAGGGCTTCACTGCTCAAAGAGACAAGGCAAGACCGTCCCTTTTCTATATACATACACACACACACATATACATATGTGTATAATTAGATGCATACTGCACGTAACCAGGCCTGTCCAGCAGTTGTTGCGGCTCAGTGCCCAAGGCTCTTCTAAGCAATGCTTTTGTCACCTTGTCGAAGGCCACAAACCTGTCAAAAACAGTTGAGCCAAGCTGTGCTTCATCTTGCCCCCCAAAATCCCGGTCTTCCACGACTCAAAAGCACTCTCCTGGTAAAATCACTGCTATGGCTCTGCATTGCAAGATCTGCGAGAAAGTTAGTTCTTGACTGAAGTCAAGACGAGGGCCTATGCGCACATGAAGGCCCCCCTCAAGTGCATCTTCCGCCTGCTGTCAGGAAGAAATCGTTGAACCAAGTCCTCCATGGCTTTTGGATTGCCGGATCGTTGTAATCATAGTGCAAACATTGATCTAGTCGCCATATTGATCGTGCCATTGCCGCTAGTCATGACAACATCAAAACGGCCGGGGTGGGACTTATTGACCATTACCGTCATTACGATGACGAAGATGGTGTTCATCATCACTCGCGGGCGTAAGAGTCAGAGGAGAACGAACGCAGCTAAACGCAAGTGGTTCCGCGTATGATGCCGACAGTCAGCAGGTGCATTATGACAGCTTTAGGGGGTCGCTGACGCGCCATTGCCCAGCAGGACTTCTGGGTCCATATGATGTGGTGGGTTAGTTATATATAATGCTATTCCAATACTGTTATAAGAGCATGAAAGAATTAGTACATAACTGCTATATTATGCGTATATTACCATTATACTACTACGGTCAGCACGTCACGTCGAATGCGCACGTTCCCATGGACTCATGATTGGAACAATCTCCAGAAAAGTGCATCAGCTGGCCACCACTGTCGAAGCGCAGCCCTACTTAAGGGATCATGGGACTTAGTAAGTAAGGTTATGTGATATAAGTACCTAAATTGGGGTGATAAGTATAGTTACCCTAGTTATAACCCTAGTTACCAAGTCCCTTGATCCTTTAAGTAAGCCCAGGCCCTCAACGTTATCAACACAAAGATGTTCTCTGAAGCACGGCCCAGTGCAGCCGCGGACTGTAGCGGAAGCTTTAAGTTTCTGCCTGCTTACCTGCCTTTGCATGTGCATGGACGGTCGTGCGCGACACTGCAAGGGCATTGGCAGGAGTTCCAAGCCGAGTTGGAGATCAATTTGGGGAACTCATCGAGCCCCAGTTGGATGCGAGGTGCGCCAAACACCCAGGACGTTGATGAAAGGGACTGCACGACGAGTAGCACTGCCGTTTTTGCCCCGCATGCGCCGTCAAACCGGGTAGAAGTTTGAGCACATACAAAGCCATTAAACTCCGAAGGCATATAAGTGAAATTTAGTCTTGCATGACGGTCACAGTGCAGTGCTACCGCGCGCTGCGTCATCCAAATGGCATGCGATCCGTCAATACAGTCGACCCGTGTCCAGGTGTTGAGCTGCACTGTTTTGCTACACGGTGCAGTCCTCACATGGCTTATCTCTGTGGTGCTGCGGCTTAAGCTTGAGGGTTGGCCCAATGCAAACGGCAAACGGCAAGCCTTCAGGTCCACCTTGACCCTTCGCTTGGGAAATCCACCCTCCGCTGGATAGAGACTGCCCAGGCTGACTGTCACGCCGACAGCGCCTGAGGTTTAGTCGTCCAGAGGTACGGAGTTTCGGGATTTGAGGCTTCGGAGTTTAGGGTTAATCTACATTTGACATGGTGTCTCGGGTTTTCGAGTTTAGGAGTTTGAGCGAGCTGCTGCCGGATCAAGTCCTAGGGTGCGCCCTTAACACCCGCCAGCCAAGCCGCCGTGCGCTTGCAAGACGCGCTCCTTGCTCCAAGACCCGTTCTTCGGCCATCCTTCCTGGGAGGAAGCAGGACGACAGAACATCACGGAATACAGGTGCGAGTATACAGTGGCAATGTTGTTCACAGTACAATGCTGAAGGCCGAAAGCCCATTATGACCTCACATGTAAACTTTCGAACATTGCCAGTCGCTAGTGTATGATAATACACTGACGGGACTGGCATGGCGATCGTTTGGCCCTGGTAATGACTGCGTAGAGGAACCGCCTCACATGACACCTCACAATTTTCTACGGTGAAATGTACTGGCTGACCTGGCTAAAACTGTTCGAATACCACTGACAGACAAACCAGAGCTGGAACTCATGAAAGGAACATCAGAGATTGTCATCGGCTCAAAACATGCGTCGGACGGAAAAGCAAGACAAAATGTGTTGTCGCTCAGTTCAAAACAAGCTTCTGCCAAACCTTTGATGATAACGGGCTGCTCGGCCTCCTTCAGCAAGCGCCTTACATGTGCCAAAACCGAAACAGTTCAAACTCGCACAATGGCACCAGGAGCGTCAAATGGTCCTGAAAACTGAGGTTCTGGGCGGCCAATGCCCTTTGAAGTTGCATTGGACGACAGAACCGTGGCAACTTTGGGAACCGTCCTGCCTGGAACGATACCAGTCATCATCCCGAATGCTACCGCCGATCTACCCCACGCAACACGAGCAATCTGCCTCTCACCTAGCACGTCATCGTTCTGCCAAAGATGATTTAGGCGAAGTGCCGGAGATGGGATGGCTTCACACAGCCCTTCGAGTGGCCGCTGCGGCAGATCTTGGCTTCATCACCCATGAGCTTCGCAACTCAGGGTTTAGAGTTTAGGGTTTCGACCAGGTTGCAAGGTTTGTTAATCTGATAATCACGCGAAGAAGAGGCCAGACTTTCAAGGGTAGAACTCGCTTGCCACCGTGACTGTTGCTGGCACTTAGGTCGAAAGACCGAGAGGCTTCCAACGTCCTCGGTGCATAGCTCTGGTTGTCCTGCCAAACTCGGCTTCGCATACATATATATATATATATACATATACATATACATATACATATACATATACATATACATATACATATACATATACATATACATATACATATACATATACATATACATATACATATACATATACATATACATATACATATACATATACATACATACATACATACATACATATATATATATATATATATATATAGATACATATTTATTTATATATATATATATATAAACATATGTATATAGATAGATAGATAGATAGATAGAGGTTCAAGGCACACTCGCCCACCACGAAAGCGCTGCTGAGAGTTCTCGAATTGCCCCCGCCACACTGTCCTGCAAGGTGAGCTCCTTCTCAATCCCCTCGTAGAGCTCTGTAATCTCTTTCTCGGAGGAACAGAGCGCTTTCAGGGGGGTTTCGCGGCTAGGGCTTCAGCATGACGGCACTCCAGAGACATGATCTGACAGCAGATGCCCCAGCTTTCCACACCTACAGATTGTCCCCAGATCAGGACACAGCAGCGGAGCTGTGGGGCATCACAAAAGCTTTTTATCGTTTGCCTATGTTTCTGGAAGCTCTACTTCGCCGAAATTGGCGGGGTCATCTTTACAGCTTTAGGAACAGTGGTAATCCGCGAAGAGCATGATTTTATGCATCTCCGCACTTCGCAATATCTACCGACATCTGGAAGAATGACAAGTGCCACTCCGTGACAAGCTATCAGACGCATCTTGCTAGTCGTCCTCTCGATGTGCTGAGCCCTGCACATTCAGGTTGAGCATGAAAGTCTCTTCGCTGATCCATTCGCCCACCTTGCCACACTGACATCTTTATGATGCCTGGCACGCCTGCCGATTGCCTACACTCTCCAGAGAGGTACCAGTGCCGTATCAAGCTGAGCATTCGACTTACACTGACCCTTGCTAAAGTTTCGGCTGCTTTACTACTGTCTGCAGCAGCATTTGCTACGCGGCGCTCGCATCATTACCGTGATGGCTAGAAGTGTTCCCAAACCCTCGGCATAGCCCTAGGGAACGAAGTTTACCAAAGCAGCCAGCCTTTCAAAGGCAACCCCACCTGGGTCCAGCGGCACTCGCCCTCTCCCTCGCAGCTTTGCTCCGCAGCCAGACCAACCAAAGCGAGCGTCCAAAGCCGGCGAAGCGCCATGCTTGAAAGCCACTGATGACTGATGCCCACCCTAAACTCTCCAAGCCCTAAACATCCAAGAGGTCTCTCGGCTGTGGAGAACTCGTTGCAAGAGCCCAGGAGCCACGAAGAGATTTCGGCAGGCTCGGACTCAAGGCTTTGGGTTGAGCGCCTACCGGGTAGGGCCTACCGGGGCGTCAGGGGCTGCGATCATGCGCTTTGAAGCAACATGACACATAGGCCCAGACGTAGCACGCAGACTGGTTTGCCGCTGCCCTACTGTCAACGATAGGCTGTCCCGCAATTTCCAGCCATCTTGACCCCTGCTCTCCCTCAATCCCCAAGATGTCAACATGGTTTGAGCTGAAACGAAGGCTGCGAGTTCACGGCCAAACGGCATCTGTTCGACTTGGACGTAGACATAGTTTAGGCTCGCCGCAGTAATCCAACGGAAGCAGTAGTAACTTCAAAATTCCACAACACAATGGCAAGCCCCAAGAACTCTTTCGACTTAGCATACTGGCCCTTTGCAGAAAGTACTATACTACTACAGTATGAGTGGGTGTCCGGGTTCCATGCCTGGTTGCGCACGAAGCGGCAGTTCCTGAGCTGAAGGGGGAAGGCCTGCAGCCTGGCACTCTTTTGGAACTACCGAGCAAAGAATGTAGGGCCTCAATCATCCGGGTTTTGGGGGTACATCACTGAATGATACCGAATTACGGAACCCCGAGACGAGTATTGGTAGCTATCCCGGCTTTTGCAGTACAGCTTGGCGACGTGGGGGGATGTTATTGGGGAGGACAGTGTTTAGTTAGCCTGCTCCTGCAAGCCTGCCTATCTGCTTTGCCGGAGAGTTTGCGCAGAGATTCCTGGCAAGCTTGAAACTCAAGATAGGCCGCAAACAAACTGAACAAGCGAAGTCTGACCATGTGGACTCAGTTAAATTCCGCTCACCCATGAGCTTCCAGAAGACCCGATAGTCTGACGAGTGGCATGCCGCGCATGGACATCTTGCGTGGGCGTCGGGTCTTCTTGATGCCATTGCGGTGGTTCTGCGCCATGCAATTTGCGAGGGATCCCAACAGCTAGCACGGCCTTTCAAAACCGAGCACGTGATAAACATTCAGATCAACAACACTTAGGTAGCCGGCCGTCTGACTTGTGCGCTTAACTACAGCAACACACAACCCTAAACCCCTAATCCCTCAAACCCTAAGCCCCTAAATCCCTCAAACCCAAACCCCCTAAGCCCTAAGCCCTAAACCGTAAGCAAGTCCTTGTAGATCTGGTTGTGCCCGGTATGGTTCCTGAGATCCGGCAGAGACTTCGAGCCACCCGCTTGTCTACTGTAGGAGGCTCAAAAATTAGAATAGGGCTTTGGAGGTAGGCTATCGCGTAAATAATGAATGTGTGTGTATATATATATGTATGTATGTATGTATGTATCATAAGGAACCCTGAGGAGTAATGCTCGTAATCATTCAGGCTTCGATATTGCACGACTAGACAAACGATCCGGATAAGAACTCTCTGCAGATGTCATAGAACACCGAAGTATAAGAACCCCCCAGCAGTAACAAGTTCAAAAACACAAATCCGAATCCGAGGTGGTGGTTCATTTAGCCGAGGTTCTTTGACTTTGCCATGGCTAGAAGGAGCTGGGCTCAGTGCAGTGTGCAGAATGCCGGAGCTTGAGCCTGTTTTGGCAAAGGGCCAGCGCAGAGATTTCCGGAAAGACTCTGTTCACCCAGCTGAGCATGAGCCTTCAATGTCCACCCGCTAGTAAATGCCACCGGCTTTGCTTGAGCTTAATCCGAAGTTCGAGTCTCTAGACAGGCAGCAGAAGCGCAGCCTATCTTTGTGGCGGTCCAGCGCGAGGTGGTCGCAGTCAAGTTGAGCTAAACGTGCTTCAACTGCCCCACGTGTTGTTGATGCACAGGTAAGGCGATGCTTCTTCTCACGGGACTTCGTGCGTTGGTGCTCGTGCTCTGATGCTCATTACCTGCGCCCTCGCTTGCCGCTCGGACTTCTGGACCTCAGCACAGGGTAGGCTTTGCAGGATGATAACATAGGGGTCTTAATTATTAGAAACGGGTTCTGGGGTATAATATACTATACTTATTTAGGCCCCTTATTTAAATCTATCCCGCAGCTGCTCTCTTACTTGCATGACAAAGGTGCTCGAAACCCCGGACCAATGACTCCATGACAAGGCTCGGAAAGGCAAGCGATATCTGCGACCATGCATTCCTACTTTTTCGATGGTTCACCCCAAGCCTATCACAACAATACAGGCGCCTTAGTAATTAGAATTGGGTTTTGAAGCCTATTATTCCATAATCGTAATAAGGAGCCTCCAACATGGCACAGTCAATTATTAAGGCCCCTATACTAAAACCCTTCAAATCTCATGTTCGAGTTTACGAAAATAGGGGACCCTGGTATAGTACCCCTAAAGCGTAGGATTCTGATTATAAGGACCCCAAAATAAGGAACTCGAAATGTTTGAGTGCCTGGCTTCGACCTTGAATAGGGCTTTGGGGCCCATTTTGCCATAATTACGATAAGGAACCCCCAAGATAGTATACTATGAGTATTGAGGCCCTGTATTAAAACCTTCACCTCACGTTTTGACTGTCTACATTACAACCCCCCTAAACCCTGAACTATAACACTAAAACCTGCGTCTCATGTTTGAGTGTCTGGCTCCGACCTACCACGAGACTCATCGCGGGAGTCGTCTCGAGAGCGAGAGCGCGACTCGTCCGAGGGTGGTTTCGGCTTCCTCGGCTCCAGGCTTTGAGGTTTAGGGTTCAGGGTTTGGGATTCTAGGGTTTAGGGTTTTAGGGTTTGGGATTTTAGGGTTTAGGGTTTTAGGGTTTGGGATTTGACGGTTTCGGGTTTTAGGGCTGCTGGCCTTTCTGTTCATGCCGCAAGCGGCTTGAATGTTTGAACGCATCTGATGTGTGATAAGTACATTATGTGCGGCTGCGTCTCATGAAATCACGACCACACTACGGCTCGTACTGCACGTTCTCCCGATGCTGATGTGAAAGCTATGAACGACGACGATGACGAGGACGGCTGTTCATCCTCGTGCTGCCACTCCGCACTATGTCGCTACCTGAACCCTTCAAAGTAGGCAAAATAATGGCACAAAATCTACTAAGGGCCATTATTCTACACAATTTTGGGTCAAGTTAATGGCTAAACCTGAGCGCGCCTGTCGTCAGCGCTTCTGCCATACTCTCATGATCGCTACTGCGATGCTGTCTTGCGACTGTTCTACACTTGTATCCGGCTGATTGGAGCTAAGGCTGCAACTCCGCCTCATATAGAAGCACAGTGCTGGATCCGAGAGCCAATGACGTGCATGGCTTCCGTGGTCGCACGAAACCAAACCGAGGTCTCCGCTTCTTTTTCCCGACTTTTACTCTTACTCTCCTGCGCTGGCAATGCTGAAAGAATTCGGACACAATCAACAAACACACACACACACACATGCACGCAAACACGCACACACACACACACACACACAAACACCTGCAGCATCCGAATTTGTGCGTCTGGTTCACGCTCATGTGGACAATGCCCGATTTGATGCAGCGTGGCCTGGTCTTTTTCTTCACTTCCTCTTCGGAGGATTCTTCCTGCCAGCTGCCCTAGACTCTAGCTCTTAGGCACCAGGGTCATTCGGCAAAGAACACATGGCACTCAGCTCGACCTGGCACCTCCCACGAAGCAGCTTCGTGCCAGCTCAGTTTCCTCAACGCGCAAAACCTTAGAGCCTTTGAGAGCCATTGATGTGCGCTTGCCTCCTCAGATTCACGGCTGTCAGACTCCTTCTTTTTCCTGGCAAGCGGATTCCGAACGTTGACAAGCATGGTAGAAGCGTGATGTCTAATGGCAAGATGATGGAGCACAACAGGAATTCTGCTGAGTGATTCTTGTGCAAGCAGCCACTGGGACTGCACACTCCTGATAGAAACTGTGACTTCCTGCTGTCATTATGTCCGCACTGTCAATGCCTGCTACCGCATCTTGCTACAGTATAGGGATATTGCCGGTGTATGGCAATTGTGTAGTAAGTTGTAGTATTAATCCGTCGAGGCAGCTGTGAACTGCCTAATGAGGTAAGGCAGCACAAGAACAAGCAAAGTATCATACGCACATTCCGACGTCCCTGATGCCCGATACCTGGGAATTAGCTGTCGTTATGCACTAGAGGCGTGAACTCTGAAGAAGTGGTCGACAGGAGCTGGCTTCTCTTCGCGACAGGCTTGCGGGATATGAAGGGTCTTGACTCACTGTTTCTTGCTCTTTGCCCTCAACAGCGACTGTCGTCACAACCAGCTTGGCGCTGTAATTTCGGCAGGCAGGGCTTCTTTGCTGGAGGCCTCATCGCAGGCAGAGCCACAACTGGACCGAAGACTGAAACAGGGCACTGCGGAGGCAGTTTTGCAGAACCCGGCCCTCCTTTACATCTGAGTGGTTCTCAATGTTAGGGTCCCTTTTGGGGTCCTTATTATAATGAGGCACCTAATGTTTAGGGTGCCCAAAAACGGGAAAGTAATTTCGACAACCACCCGTATGAGGCTTCTCTACAACAAGGGGGACACATCGGAGGCGAAAAGTA